AGCGGCGACTAGCCGAAGTTGTAGATAACCCTCTTTAGCTTCTCGCCGCACCGAAAGAAGGGTGCCCTCATTCACCTCAGGCCGAATCCACATCGAGACGGTGAAGTTGGCGGGCAGTGTTACTCTACGCAAGATGGCGTAGGCCATGGAACCCTCATGGAAGGACTGCTTGAAATAAAGCCTTGAGTCGATTCCAGAGCCTAAATATATTGCATGTGCGTATTTGGCCTTTTAGTTGTTGCTCTTTTGTAGTTATTATTTATGAAATCACAATCAAGCAACAATCCTCCTAAACGATTTTGTTCATGTCTTTACCCGCCCTATAAAATCCTACTATTTTTAGGCTAATTAGCCCATTTTTCGTGTATAACTAGATAATATACATGAAAGAAATTGTCTTACAAGTATATAAGTAGACATAACGTTTCCATTGAATTTCACATAGCCTTGCATCCCAAATGGTCTTATCATCCAGGCGGGAATGAATACAGTTTCGACCTTGCCTAGGTCTCATCAACAACTCCAGCAAAACTCAAATCATAACACTACAGCGTATGGTCTCGACACGTTAACCATTATGCCAGGTTCCAAGATCATACGCTGCAGTGTTCGAGTCCCGCTGGTTGAGTTGATAAGATCTAGACGGGGCCGAAACTGCAGTCAATCCTGAATGACAATACTTTTTGGGAAGCAAGGTAATATTAAATTCAATGGGAATATCATGCATACTTACATCATTGTGGTAAAATTCAGCTTATCGCCTTAAGCGAAATAGGATGAATACACCGCGTATAAACAGCCCATGTTGAGCGGTTTGATTTCTTTGCTTACAGCATCATGTTGAAAAAAGCCCAGAAGCAGATGATTTATACAGAGTCGAGATAGGTAGACTGCTGTATTGAGCTCACCTGAACTGGCCTCCTCAGCACTCTCGGCGGGACTCGAACCAGGACAGAGCTGCGTATAATCTCAACAAGTTGACCCCTACGCCAGACTGCCACTAGGGCCCTTGGATCACAGGGAAGATGTAAATTCCATGAAAGGTAAGGCATTTTTCCCATATCATATGAAGTGAGGTTATATTTGCTATATTTAGTTCTTCATCACCTTAAACAAAATAGGGTGAACACATCTCATATTATCATTCTTAGACTTCACATGAAGAATTGGCTACTAGATACCAACAAGATACGACAATTGCTTAGCAGAAGGATGGTCAATGGATTGATTTCCCTTGTCTATTTGAAGAATTGTGGTTTGGTGCTAAGACTAAAAAGGTTATTTGAAGATGCCGGCAAAAGGTATGGGAATCTACCGAATCTGCAAATTACCACGGATCCTATTTAATCCGTACCAGGTGCATTCCTTTAGGTCGCCTACACAATAGGACCAAGTTGCAACTACAAAGTTAAAAAACTTCTATACCACGAAAGGAGACCGCGATCATATTAAAAGCCACACCATTTTGGCCTTTATGCCTTCGAGTAAGCTATGAAAGTTAGATTATAAAATTGTGCACTTATTACAGCCGAACAAAGAAGACAATTGTAAGTCATTCATGTCATTTGCCTTTTTGGAATTGTTGCAAACATTATGCTATCGCTCCTTGGTTCTGCAACCTGATGAGGAAGTGTCATTCGGGCACACTTAATAAAATACTTTATTACGCCTCCATCCAAAAATTAGATAAAAGTTACGAAAGTGAGAGGCGTAAGCTATTTAAGTTCATAGATTTAAAGTCTAGATTTATGAAGGATTCATATAGGGTTCTTACTTGGGACGATTTTCAATGACTCCAGAGTATGACTGACCAGAACTCACAGAAGGTCAGGGATTTGATAAATAGGAGGTATGACAAGAAGTTGCCTAGATCTATGCTAAAAAGATAGCGCATGATTCAGCCAACCCGACAAAATTATGATGTTCCTTTATTGGTGGCATCCATTAATCCAAAGCGGGATGAAATTATGGACTTATTCTCAGTCAGCGATCTTTTGAAGAAGAGGTAATAAGGGAAAGATTTTAAAAGATATTTTTGTAAAAGTTGTTGCCTAGATGAGACTAAACGTGAGATGAAAATGAAATTAATCCCGAGTATCCTGTCAAATTAAGAGCCAATAAGCATAGTTGGATTGAGTAATATTTGCAAAAAATTACAAAGAAATACGACGGTGGTATTTGACAGGCAAGAGTACACGGATAAAATGGAAAGTATCCCAGATGACCGGGACATTTATAAATTGCTTTTAAATGATCCAACAATGAAGATCAACGGAATCCTGGAGGATATGATAAAGGAAATGCATCATAATGGAGAAATGAACGGATGGAGGATGAATTATTTACTTACAAATGTCGCAAACTACGAACTGCCGAAGATAAACAGGGGAGGTTAATAAATAGTTAGAAGCATGAAACAACACACAAACTAGCGAAATGTATGTGCTTGAAGCTCAGGAAAGTAAACGATATACTCTTGAATAGCGTGAAGAAATACCGAATTTTCTCAGAGTATACAAAACTTTGGACTTTCAGAGACGGAAATTTTGGTATGTTTTGACGTAAAATCCATGCAGAACGGATACGAAAGGAATCTTTAACACGCCTCATCAACCTAACACTAAGGACCTGGAAGTGAGGATTGCCGACTAAACGACATTCTTGGATCAAGACTCCAACAATAGGGGGAGGAGGGAGTGAGGGCACCAGCAGGGAGTCTGAATAGGCTCCA